AAAGCATGTTGTTTAGGTTTAATTTCTTAAAATGCAACCCACTCAGACACATTTGATCTTTGCTGAGTTCTTTCCCCAAAGTACTATGCTACGTCATTTTCTGAAAATTTACTGAAAATGCTTCAAGAGTTCTCTATTGCTTTTTAAAACAAATGCAAAATCTTTAGTTTTGTAAGATATTTAGTTATTGGTTTTTTCTTCATTAGGCCAAGTATATATCAACTTGTAAAACTCAATTGAGGTATACTACCTGATTATTTAGTACTCTATTATCTATTCAGTCTCTATTTGTTCCTTCTTCTAGAAGGCTGATTGGGTCCATGAGTCACATACCCAATTTCTTCAGGAAAAGGTTATCCGGACACACCCTTGTGCTTTCATACAGAGCATGCTTTCCCAACAATGATTTCCCTATTTTAGCATCCTTTGTAAATCAGCTAAACTGAGAACATACCAACACTTGAAATCCTGGCTCCTCAGGTTATACTTAACCTTTTTTCAATAATTTTCCAGTCTTCTCTCATTTTACTGTAAGCAACAAGGAGGAGCCAAACCTTGTCTTCAACACTGACCTTGGAAATCTCAGGTAAATGTTCAAGTTCACCACCTATAGGTTCTGATTTCCATCCAATAGTACAATACCATACAACTACCTTTTCTGTTACTTTATGGCCAGGATGGATTTTCCTTAAGTTTGCAATAACAGAGTCCTTATTTCCTTTTGAGATCACAGCAGAAACACATTGAGTATCCATATGTCTACCAACAATTGGGTCATAGTGACAAATGTATTCTTCAAGATGACAGTCATTATGTACTTTCTTCTAGGCCACACCTCCATAATCTCTTTTAACAGAAATACTTCTGCAGGTAATTTCTTCCAAACAATCTAGCTCATTCACCAATGCCAAAGCCACTTTTACATTGTTTTGTATTTGTTAAAAACAGGGCTACCTCTCCTGCTACCAGGAGATATTAATGCCATCTGTATTGTTTTCTATAACTTTAGCACCAAATTGCCACAAAATCAGTGATTTCAAGCAAAAGAAATAGAATTTCTTAAACCTTGGAGGACCAATTCCAAAATCAAGGTTACAGTATGGTTGGTTTCTTCTATAGGCTCCAAAGGAGAACCCATTCCATATCACTCTTGCAGCTTCTGCAGACTGCTGACAATCTTTAGGGTAGGTTTGTGCACTCATTTCTCCACTCTGCCTATTCCTCCAGTCACTTCTTTTCTTATGAAATATTTGTCTTCCTCTCACTTGTTAAGGATGTTTGATAACTTTAAGGCCTTCTGTGAATCCATTATGATCTCATCTGAAAATCCAACACTTGTTACATCTACAGAGACCTTTATTCAAATAAGGTCATTTTCACAGGTTCTATGAGCTATTTCTTGGATCTATCTTTTGGGGGTCCACTAAAGCTCCTAAAGTCTTCCCCCTAGACCCAACCCCTAAATTCATGCTTATGAATGTGTAAAGCACATTTTCCTCATCTCAAAATCTACAAAAGAAACATCAGGTATGATGGGTGGTAGAACCTTAAGGAAGTGGAGTTTAATGAAAGATAGTTAGTTGATTGGGGGCTTATTTTTGAAGAGGATATTGGCCATCCTATCACTTCCATTTTCTTTTGGCTTCTCAGCCACCATGAATTGAGCAGTTTCCTCTAGCACATACTCAGTAAGTTCCTGGGCAACCTCCAGTGGTACTGCTAGCGTCTGAACCATTCTTTTTCTTTGTACTGGTGCTGGTGCTTGAACTCAAGGCCTGAGCACTGTCATTTAGACAGAGCACTGTCATTTAGTTAGAGGTCTACCACTTGAGCCACAGCTACATTTCTGCCTTTTTGCTGGTTTACTGATGATTAGAGTTTCACAGATTCTCCTGCCTAGTCTGGCTTTGAACCATGATTCTCAAATCTCAGCCTCCTGAGTAACTAGGACTACAAGTATGAGCTACTGATGATCAGCCTCTACACCACTCTTGACAACTCTACTCTTAATGCTATTCTGCCTTTCTCTCAAAGAGCAATACATATTTGCAGCTGATTAGCTCTATCAATCCATTCCTGCCTATGGAATTCAAGAAGAATGTCTGGATCTTATGGGTTTTGATTTTTATATCCCTCTTAAGAAGTTCTTCTTCACTAAAAGAATGTAAAAGTTATTTCATGTATTCATCCAATGGTTTACAATTCTGTTTTTATAGTAGCCATTCCTTCTGGAATTTACTTTTGTGCACCATTTCAGGATGAGATAAAACTTCAGTTTTCCAATTAATAGGCAGTTATTTGGTACCATCGATTGATACGTGCATTATTTATCTATGATATTACCAGTTTTGTCATATATGTTCATATTTAAGACTGTTTGGGGTAAATTTCCTCTATAGATACATATTTAGATACACCCTTATATAGTATACTGTTATGAGTTGCTAGCTAATACAGTGTAATATATTGTGCTTAGGCTACAGAGCAACTCTATTTATACTGCTATGAATAGATTCTGTATCACAGATTATTTATTACACAGTAAATCCTCTTCACTGATTTTGTATTCTAAAGGAAAGTTTGTCCCAAATGACTGAGTGAAAACATAGTGAGACCTGATTCATATAAATAAGGAAAATGATATTATAAATGATGTTAGAGCTTTTTGAAGAACTTTTGGAAATGTGAATTCCAGTATATATTCAAGGAACAGACATACATATTCAAGGAATATGTATTTGTGTATACCTTTTTTTCAAGGAAGTAACAAGTTAAGATCATCAAAAAATTGGATATTGATGTGAAACTAACATTGAGAAGGTCATCATGAGCACTACTACGATTCAAATAAATGATTACATAAGGACAGCTAGAACAAAACCATGGCTAAAGGCTCATTCCAGCTTCAGAGAATCTGAGTAGGCTGCTGAAGTGGTTGCCAAGGCAGGATATCAGAAAAGCTTCTCCACAGGGACTCTGTGATAATGATTCGCCTATAGAGTTGATTCAGTTATGTGCCTCTTCCCATTAAAACAGTCAGTCCCTCCTTTAAATAGGGTCTGTGTATATGCACTAAATTCCTGTAAGAATACATGGTTTGTTTCAGGAATCTAGACTAAAATACTTTATGTATATTCTGCATCAATACCACATTTCCACTGATATGTCATAGTGCACTGTTTTAATATCTCATAGCACAAACATTAACAAAATATTTTGACAATTCTAGCTTATTTTTTCACATGAACTTTAGCATATCAACTTTTTTAATAAAAATATCCTATTAGGGTTAATATTGGGTTTGTATTAGCTAGATGATTGGATGAAAATGTAAGGATTGTAATATTATTCTTCTTGTCTATGTTTGTTATATATTTATTGGGTGTTTTCTATATCTTTTAGAAAATTTTTTCTTTTCTTTTTATTTTTTGAACTCAGGACCTGGGCACTGTCCCTTGAGCTTTATCACTCAAGGCTAGCACTCTATCACTTTGAGTTACAGCATCACTTCTGGTTTTCTGGTGGTTAACTGGATTTAAGAGTCTCCCAGATTTTCCTGCCCAGGTTGTGGACCACAATTCTTGGATCTCAGCCTCCTGAGTAGCTAGGATTAACTTCTACAATTGTGAGGCTTCTTACCAATAATAATGTTTTATTTAAGTTATGAAAACATATTTATTATATATTACATATAGTATATGCATAGGATATATACTATAATATATACTATTATGGACTTCCCTGCCTAGGTTGGCCTTGAACCATAATCCTCAGATCTCAGCCTCCCTAGGATAACAGGCATAAGCCACTGGTGCTGGGCTAAAGTACTAATTTTTTAATATTTTAAAATATAATATTGACTTCAAATTTGAACCATAGTTTGAACACAAAAATATATTTAAACTAAGATTTCTTATGCTGTGAGCATTGCTCAAATGGTAGAGAATTTCCTAGCAAGTATAAGGCCCTGTTTCAATCCCTACTACCACAAAAGTAAACTAAATCCTCTAGGACTTCAAAGAATTTGTTTTCCTTACTGCCTAGTACTTCAAATGAGAAGTCTGACATCAATCTTTAAGGCTATCTCATTTTTGTTTTACTTTTTAGAAACTTTTAAGTGCTTTTCTCTATCATCATGAGTAATTTTCCATAATATATTGAGCTCCCCCCTTCACCAAATGCAAAGATATTTTACTGACTTTCCTTAGCAAAGACAGTAGCATCATTTAAAAATATAATCATTTGAGTGGCCAATCAAATACAAGGAAGGAAGATAAAAAGTAAATGATGAATGCAATCAAAAGATTGCAATGTCATGTAAATCCTACTACCATGACGTCACTAGGCAAAGGAATATTCAGCTATGGCATAAAAATATGTGATGTGAATACTAGTGATTATTTAGTGGGAAGTGAGTTTGCTTTCCAGAAGACTATGAACTAAACATTTGGGCTGAATTGCCTATCTTGATCAGGAGGAAGTCCATTGTAGGTAAAACAAATTGGAAAGAAACAAGTATATCTAAGAATCCAAGATAGTTTCCAAATTCATGGTGACAGATTAATCTCCTCAATAATTATTAGCCTGGTCCTAAGGATCTCAAGATGAAAGCTACTTGCTCTTTATTTTAGTGAGTTCAGCAATGAGAACTAGTTTTAGGGTAGCTTAGGGCTCTTGGAGAACTTGTGACTTGTGTGTATTGGGGACGTGGATTGGGTGGCAGTCTAGTTTTTCCTCAGACACTACACAACACACTAAACGGCCTGAAATCTATTGTGAGATTTTCAAGCCTCACAGAATCCAAGAAGCAAGAATGACGCAACCCAATCACTGTATTTTTGCATAATTTTAGATTAATATACCTAATAGAGGATCCGAAAAGCCTCATTAGAACAAATTGTGTCTTCATCAACTACCAAGGCAAAATAATAACCAGTAATTGCTTTAATTTTAATCTTATTTGCTTTTAAAATAAATAAGAATAACCTTAAGTTATTCTGTTACAAAGGAACATGGCTGAACAGATAGGAAACGGATTCCCCATTGTGAGTTCTCCGGATGGCTTCAGCAAGGATCATAGAGATGTCGATCACCTGTATCTTGGGGCACTGCTTCATCTTCTCCTCCTGAGGTATGGTATTGGTGACCACGACTGCTTCAAAGCATGCACTATTGATGCGAGCGATGGCTGGGCCAGAAAAGATTCCGTGAGTCAAGATGGCATACACGCTGGTGGCTCCTGCGGAGACTAATTTGTCAGCTGCATGGCAGATTGTCCCACAGGTGTCAGCCATGTCATCCACAAGGATGGCCACCCGGTCCTTCACGTCGCCCACCAGCACCATGCGGTCCACTTCGTTGGCCTTCTTGCGTTCTTTGTGAATCAAGGCAAAGTCCACATTCAGGCGGTCGGCAATGGAGGTGACCCTCTTGGCTCCGCCCGCGTCCGGAGACACGACGGTGCAGTCCCTCCATTCGGCAATGTTCTCCTGCACCCACTTGAGCACAGCTGGCTCAGCGTACAAATTGTCGACGGGGATGTCGAAAAAGCCCTGAATCTGAGACGCGTGCAGGTCCATGGTGATGATGTGGTCGGCGCCTGCGATGGACAGCATGTTGGCCACCAGCTTCGCCGAGATGGGCGCGCGGCTCTTGTCCTTCTTGTCCTGCCGGGCGTAGGGGAAGCAGGGGATGACGGCGGTGACGCGGTTGGCTGAGGCGATCTTGCAGGCGTTGATCATGATCAGGAGCTCCATGAGGCTGTCGTTGATCTCGCCGCAGCCGCTCTGGACGATGTACACGTCCTCTCCCCGCACGCTCTCGCCAATCTCCACGCACGTCTCCTGGTTGCTGAATTTCTTGGTCACGACCTTGCCCAGCTCCAGGCCCAGGCGGTCGGCGATCTTCTGAGATAGGTCCTGGTGGGAGCTGCCGCTGAAGATCTTGATATTCGGCATCTTGGGCCGACCAGGCGTCCTTCCGCAATCTCTCCCCGCCAGCGAAACGCAACCGGAAGTCAGGCCACCACACCACCACCACAGCTTCCGTTTGTTACCCTGCCCGTTACTTACGAAGCCGTTAGACCCTCTTCCGGTGTGTGGGACTAAACGGACTGCGACTCTAGCAAATAGATCCTGAACCTCACCTGCTTTATACTTTAAAACTGCACATTTTTTTTCTAGATGATGAGATGTATTGCTCTTACCATTATTTTCATTACTACTATTAATGATGCTCTTATGAGTTTGCTTGGGCAGCTAACACAAGTTTGAATGAAAAACCCAAACAAAAAGACTCTACAAGGCCCCAAAAGTAAGTTTGGAAGGAAATTTACAGAGTGGAAAAAGTATCAGCAAAGGGTTTTTAAACAGAGTACCTCTGTACAGTGAAAAAAAGAGGAAAGTTGGAAAATAGTATAGCTAGGCACGTCATGGTAACAAAAAATCTTGTCCGTAAATACAAAAAATACCATTATCAAGATAGTATTGTTTTGTTATATAAAGGAGGCCAACAATTTAAATCAATGCCTTCTTATAGAATCTGTAAGCACGTAGATTTCGAAAGGGCCATTTTGCATGTGGACTTTGGCTTATCTCTACAACTGGTAATCCATGCCAAAGAAATATTCACAAGTATGTTGCTATATTAACTAATTCAACAAATACATTCCTTCAATAATAATTCATTCAATAAATAATAAATGAATTCCATGAGCATCTTCTGTGTGTCATGTGTGGTACTATGTTTAGGGTATAGCATGGTGAGTGAAAAATAGTAACTACCCTAGATTTGTTTATAAAAACAAATTCTAGAAATCAACAAATGATAAGTCAATTATCAAGCAATTAACTGTACATACAATGCAGATATTACTTATATACTAAAGAGTACAACTATCTTTCATAATGGTTAGAAATTTTTAGAGCTTGTACAGTGCATTGGAATTTGCGGTAATGGAAGTAAAAAGGATAAATACAAAGAATTTCAATAATGGAATGGTTCTTTCATAAAGATATTGAAAGATGAAATTTCAGATCATATATTCATAGTCTGCTAATTATGTGCCTGATATTTGGAAATTGAGATTTTAAAAATTTAGCCTAAAATCAAATTCCTACCACATATATTTTGAAATTATCAAGTAAATATTGAATATATCTTCTTGACCAGCTTTTGAACTTCCCAGTGGATTGGTTTCATGTATAATATAAGCTCAGTAATTGGATAAGGAATGGAGTAGACAACAGTAATAGGTAAAATCAGCAATGTTTGAATATACTTGGTTCTAAAAATACTTTAGTATATTTAATGAGTTATAAAAAATGCTATAAAGAACACTGCTGCATCAAAGTGACATGCTGATGATCCCATCACTGTTTTCTTGGCATCAACATGCTTTTTAAAAAACTCTCCAGTTTCTTCACAGTCAACAGTGTATATCAGCTGCTTCCTAGCCATAATGATCCAAGAATGATATCCTATCATTCTTATCATTTCATGCCAAAAATCAACAGAACCGCCTATATCATAGTCTTTATCCTAAAACAGCGATTTCCAAAGAAATTTATGACTTAATTTAGAAGCACTTAGAAGTACTGTAGCTTCAGTTAAATTAATTTTCTCTTAGTATTCTCAGCATGTCACATATTTTTCAGTTTCTAATGAAAAACAAAGCAGATTTTTAAAAATAGATTTAATATTACCTAAATAGGATTGAATGCTAATGTAAACATTTAAAACTCATAGTTGGTTGCATTTTTCTTGAGGTGTTAAATAGGAGACATTTTTGTCTTGCTATTTTTGCACCAAATTCTTGGCTGATGCTATATCTCATAGTTCCAGGGATTTATCTAGAAATATAAAATATTAATGATGGAAATGGCCTTTGACACCTCCCCAGTCATCTTAATATCCTAATTTATAGACAGAGAACTGAGCCCAGAGAAAAAGTTTTCATGTGATATGTTGTGTAATTAGAGTATGTATTAGATTTAGAATGTGAGATTCCTGGATTTCCAAGTATGACTTTGATTTTCCTTGCTATATTACTTTTTTGAGGTTTATCATAATAAAGAAAATTGGTGCAGAAATAGTTTCAAAAATGTTTCTTTTTTGCATTATTAGAGGGAAGAACACATATGAGACTGAAAAATCCTTTGTATTAAACACACACACACACACACACACACACACACACACACACACAATTTTCCAAAAGAATGCTGGGCGTCAGTGGCTCAAGCCTGTAATCCTAGCTACTCAGGAGGCCGGGACAGGAAAGCCTATGTGACTCTTATCTCCAATAAAACACCTGAAAACCAGAAGGGGTGCTGTAGCTCAAGTGGTAGAGTGCTAGCCTAGTGCAGGGACAGCACCCAAGCCCAGAGTTCAAACCCCACAACTGACAGAAACAAAACCAAAAAAATTCCAAAAGAAGTAGTATCATTGAATATCTTTGTTATTTTGATATTTCTGTTTTCTGAATCAACTGTAAGAAGATTTAGATCCTATTTATTTTATTTTGTTATCATTGACTCTTTCTCTCAAAAGTTACAAATAAGAAAAAACCTAAACAATAAATTCTCTGTTTAAGACCTTGCTTTTTAATATATTCCACTGGAAATGGAAATTGTGATAAAAAACAAAGAGCCTTTATCTTTCTCCTTCCCAAGGCAAGCATATTTAAATGTCATCTCTACAGATCTAGAATTGAAGGTCTTTTGAGTCAATACCCAGAAATATATATTACTTTGATAATAGTTACTTGCCTTGCTGATTATTCTTTTACCCTTCACAATTCCAACATAAATAATTCAAAGAGAACCCTGATGCAGTTTGATGGGCTTAGGAGAAAAGAAATTCAATCAGTTCTTTCAGAAAGTAGAGAAAAAGGGTTGTATTTTAAGTGAAAATAAATGCTTTCACTAAACAAACTTGCAGTTGACAAAATGCTAGATGTTTAGGTGGCAATTATAGTTCTTTGATAAACTGTCAAATCTTGTCACAACACACGTTACAAACAAGGACAGATTTAGATGTCCTTTATGACAGCTTTGTGTAGGTTGGGAATGTGTGGCAGTTCCAACAAGGAACATATTTTTCTTTCTAGTAGTTATCTGCTTGTTTATTAGGAAGACTTTTTGTGCCTTTAATCTTACTCATTTGACTCACAGTTCCAGATCATTATTGTGATATTACCTTACCTCATTTATTTTCTTCGTAATAATCATCTACAATCCTTTGAGAGAACAGTTTCCCACAGAGTTTTACATTGGTATAAATGCTTTAAAGTTTGTTTTGTGATTGTTTACAATTGGAGCTGACTACTGTGTGTGTTTACTGAGTTTTTCATGGGAAATATGTCATTTTATATAATAAATGTGTAGATAGCCCAAAGATAAATAAAACAGTGAAATGAAGCAAAGAATAGAAAAAAAATATTGTGACTCAGAAATAAGACTTAGTTCTGAATGATCTTAGATTTATAAAGATAATTTTGAAATATACTTTGGAATTTTTAAAAATTCTGATGAATTTAACAGTCCTAACTTGAAATAATAATCTTGGAATAACAAGGAGAGTACATGAGCTGCATAATATGTCTTTGTAATGTCAGACAATGCACTATGTAAGATGATCCAAGTAGGAAAATATTTTCTATCATTTACATAAAATATTTTGCAGTATTTAAGACAGTTTTTTCTAAAGGGTGTTTCCTTTCTATCCTTTTTCATGTAGAATAGCAATTTTATGTACTTGTATGTTAAGCTGTGGCTCAAACTCTGGGGCTTGAACTCAAGGTTTGGGCTCTGTCCCTGAGCTTCTTTTTGCTCAAAGCTTATGCCCTACCACTTGGTTTTCCAAGTAGTTTATTGGAAGTAGGAGTCTCAGAGAGTTTCCTGCCTGAGCTGGCTAGGAGATCTCCATTGCTGAGTAGCTAGGATTATAGGCATAAGCCACCATCACCCAGCTAAATACAATTATATTTTAATTATACAGTGACAGAATACAAATTTTATTTATGCTATCAGGCTTCTTTTATTTATGTTATCCAAACTTCTAATAAAGGTCTATTTCCCCCCTCTTCAGTAGTAATTGCTCTGATAATAAACCTTGAGACAAGCTATTCATTCACAGAAGGGAAAGTCAAGTAAAATGTGTTTGGAATGGTTCTCAGTTCTCTAATATTCTGATGTCAGAATCACTGGGAGAACTTGTTAGGACACAGTTTCTCAGATTGTGTATATTTTTATTGTAAAGATACCGTATAGAGAGGTTACAGTTACATGAGCAAGGTAATGAGTATATTTCCTATCGAGCATTGTTACACCCTCCTGAGAGCTGATTTCAGGCTTGAGGTAAAAGCCTGGAATTTGTGTTTCTAAGAAAACAGTAGCTGAATAGGGAAATAAGTTAAACTATCCGTTTTTGCAGATGACATGATACTATCCCTTCACGATGCCAAAAATGCCATCTCCAAACTCTTAGAAATCGTAAATCACTTCGGCAAAGTAGCAGGATACAAAATAAACCCACAAAAATCAGTCGCCTTCCTGTGTACAAGCAGAGAGGGAAATAAAGGAAGCAATCCCATTCACAATAACTTCCCCCAAAATAAAATATTTAGGAATTACCCTAATCAAAGATGTAAAATAACTATTTAATGAAAACTATAAAAAGTTAAAGAAAGAAATTAAAGAAGACATTAGGAAATGGAAAGACCTCCCATGCTCTTAGATAGGCAGACTTAATATAGTGAAAATGGCAATACTGCCAAAATTTATATATAAATTCAATGCAATTCCTATAAAAATCCCAATGACGAACATCTCTGAAATACAGAAAACAGTACAAAAATTCATATGGAACAACAAAAGACCTAGAATAGCCAAAACAATTCTAGGGAATAAAGATAACATCGGAGGTATATCCATGCCGAATTTCAAACTCTACTATAGAGCCATAATAACAAAGACAGCATGGTACTGGCACAAAAACAGACCCGAAGACCAATGGAATAGAATAGAAGATCCAGAAATAAAACCACATACCTACAGTCAGCTGATATTTGACAAAGGAGCCAAAGACATACAATGGAAGAAACACAGCCTCTTCAACTACTGGTGCTGGGAAAACCGGGCAGCCACATGCAGAAGACTAAAAGTGACCCCAGCCTATCACCATGCACCAACATCAACTCAAAATCGATCTCAGAAACTACTGCAGGACAGAGTAGGAGAGACA